CGGCGGCTGGCGTTTACGGTGCTTAGGCGCTCCCACGGGGCGGCGAGATCTGTGGTGATTCACATTTTTGCCTTTCTAATAAGTTTATTTCAAATGGCAAGTGCTTGCGCATGTGCCGGTGTAATTTTCTTCAAGGGAAATATTCACTCGGTTACCAGAAATGTCTCCCTCCTGTCTCCAGATGCCACCAGATGAACAGTAGGTGCTAGAGTGGACAATATACCCTGTATCTATTCCAGGTGGAAACACATCCGTTCCCAGACTAGATATTTAATTTTGTTTTGTGAAGTAATGTTGACTCAGAGAATATAAGTTTTATGTAAATTGATAACTGAAATAATTTATGTCCTCTGCATCTGTATTCCTAGACATGGGGTTTACCACTGATTAAGGTGGAAGATTTACACGAAAGCCTTGCTAAAACATTGGTATTACATCTCCAGGCTGTGCACGAAGCCTTGCTCTGTTGCCATCAGAATCAGCTGGGGCGTGGATTTGCTGGGTTTCCATCTGTACTTTAGGCACTTGTGTAACGTAATTTGGAAACAAGTAACTTTGCGTGTCCCTTGCACTATTCCAAATCCTTTGCAACTTGTTCTTTTATGTCCAGATAAACAATTAATTCCTGTGACCTCTTGGTCTAAAACCTGAACTTGCTACTGAACAGCTTCTTCAGTTGCAGCCACATGCGTGTAGCTTGTTCAGGCTTTGCTTCTGCATGGAGAACATTCATCGTTATTTGCTTCCATACATATTAAACACAGGCAGAATCACTACGCAGCAAGGAAAGAGGAAAATGTGATAAACTCGTTGGACATGTTGCATGAATACCTATAAGCTGAATTCACAAATTATTATTCTCCTTTACATAGAAAATATGTGGTGGGCACCCCACTATCAGGGCCTCAGTGAGCTTCCTCTTGAAAATCAGAATAATCTTGTTGTTGCTTCTGCTTAAATGACTGGATATACCCTTCAAGAATTGCTCTGTTAAGTGTGTTATTTATTCTAATTCAATTATTGGCTTAATCTTACTTTCAATTAGTTTTATAATGCTTATGAATTACTACTTCGTTTTTGCAAGGAAGAAGGATGCACTTCTTCAAGGCAGAGAATAATGCAAGCATATGAGTTGTCCACTTAACCTGGTTATTTTTAAGCTGGAGAATTCTGCTGTCGCTAAAAATTTTGTGTGATTGCTGTGAATGTGTCATGTCCCACTGTATCTTTTAAAATGTCATTATATGTAGAAATATACTGCAAATAATTAAATGAACAACAGGGAAAGTTCCTAATGTTGTGCTGTATTATCTAAAATGGCTTAAAAATAAATTGTGGGGATTTTTTTTCCTTTCTAGCAAACTTCTGAAGAGAAAGAAGTCTGAAACCGGGCTGCAGGGAGTGACTGGAGAATGGTTTGAAGAAATACAAAGAAAAAAGTTTCAGAATTATGTTGATGTCAATAGAATGCTAAAAACACCATTAGAGCATCAGCTAAAGAAGAACAAAACCACCAGTGAGTTGCATTTTTCCATTTCCTTATCTAGATGATAATGGTCACCAAACCAATGTCTTAGAGAATTTCAGAGTGCAATACCTAAGGAGTTTTTGAAATTGCATTGAGTTTCTTCCCATGTCAAAGTGTTACCAAAGATATATTTTCAAAATGACCATGTTTCTTTAAGCAGATTCTGTTAAAAGCACAGCTAGGAGTCACAACAGAAAATCCCTGATATTCTTATCCCATAGTTGGAGTCATAGAACAGCCCAGGTTGGAAGGACATTGGAAGATCATCTGGTCCAACCTTTCGTGGGAAAAGCAGTCTAGGTGAGATTATCTGTCACCCTGTCCAGTCACATCCTGAAAGACTCCAGTGATGGGGACTCCACCACGTCCCAGGGGAGGTTGTTCCAATGATTGGTTGTCCTCATTGTAAAAAAATTCTTTCTTAATCAAGCTGAAGTTGCTGTAATTATAGTAAATATAGTGGTGGTTTCCCAATCAAAGCAGTAATGTTTACTTTGTACAAAAACTGTTTCAGTTTTACCTAGTTTTCTTAAACTAGAAGCACCTAAATGACATTTGGAATAAGTAGATAATCTGGGTTTGGGTGAGTGAGGTTTGACTGTACCAGTGGAAAACACCAGGCTAAAGGCATGCCAGAGTTGATTATCAGGGCGGGTGACAAAGCCTGGAAAATTGGGCTGACCAGGAAGTAACTTCTGGAGATTTTATTTTACAGGTTCTGTTGCCCATCCAAAATGAACGTGCACAAGAAACATGGTGTCTCTATCCCAAGCATGGCGTTCTGTACTGTCTTTTTCATCTTCCATCCAGATAGTCTTCATGCATGACATACACTTTTATTCCATTCGAATTTCTGCTTGTTTTTCATTGAGCTCTTCCTATTTGTTCTTCATAGCAACTGCAAGCAGTGTCATGTATTTCAAAAGAAAAGTGAAACCCTAAAAATTTTCCTGAAACTACATACCTACACAGAACAGATCTCTCTCTTCCCTGACCATTTTTCCCCAACATACCCTCTAGTATGAGTTGGTTTAATAAAAGGTATTGCTTCTACCCGCAAGCCTTGCTCTGTCTACATCCCTAGACCATCCTGGCTATGAGACTACCCTGATGTCACCTTCATTGTCAAGTCAAACAATGCCACCAAGAGGTTAGGCTCTGAAAGGGGTAGAGGAGGAAGCATTTTGTAATACACAATGATCATCTCTGAATTGAAAGCCATGTATTACACACAGGATTTAAATCACGTGACATGAATTATTCATTTCATTTTGGACTACGTTCAAAATGCTGCCCCTTGCTGTTATCAGTGACACTTTGCTCTCATTGCTGGTGTTGCTTTCTCCTACAGTCGTTGGATAAGCCATTTTCAGGCTGTTGTATTGTTTCAGGCATGTAACGTTTCAAATGGAAAGAAAAAAAAGATGAAATGCCTTATTCCTGAGTGAAGTCTTGTTTCCTTATGTGCTCCATTTTCCTGTTGCATGTTTTGATAGCAGACCCTGCAGTTTCTTTCCCTCATCTGTGAGCAGTACTCATCCTCTCCTTCACACCAATTGCCAGCTGCTTTTACAGGCAAACTGGGTTTATGTTCAGCTTGAAGAAATTAGATCGTAACTTTCCCAAAGAAATTATTCATGATATCCTGCATTTAAAATACAGTTCTGGTATGCAGTTTGTAGCAGAAAAAATGTACTCCAGTGGCCATGGGAATCCCATCATGAAGAATCGTGTGATACAAGGACACCTTAGTCTGAATTACTGTTGTGTAGTTACATTACAGTCTGTTAAACCATTCAGGGTTGTCATATTTCTTACAAAGGTGAAAAGAAAGTGACTAATGGTTGTGGGTGCCTCAATTTTCAAATGTCTAGTTTCCCTATATTTTAAAACAGTTCTGGTTTTCAAATGTTTGAGTGCTGATTACTTTCCGAAAATCATCCTCATTTATCTCATGTGCATCACCCAAAACCAATAATACTTTTTGAAACCGTAGACCTGCTTATCTTTCTCTTAGCCTTCTAGTTAGTCATTATAAAACAGCATATCACATAGTCTGTCCAAAAATGTCAATAAAACTGGATTTTCCTGGCATAAAAGGTAAGCAAAAGAAAACTGTTTATGAAAACATAACTTTTTATGTATAAGACTGTATTTAGTAAGAACTTGAAACAAATGAAATTTTTATAATATTTTTAGATCATAAAGAATTGAAAATGTCATCCCGCACAAATCCTCAAGCACAAAAGAATACTTCAGCATCCTTTCTGGGGTTCAGATCACCTTTTGCTTGGCTTTTCTCCTTCAGAAAATCAAGGAAAAACCAGACTGAGAAGCAACCACGGTGAGATATAATCAGAACATACATTACTTCCAGCTTTAAAAAAGTTTATGAATCGTTCTGTGTTTTGCTTAGGAAACTTTGTTAAAATTACTTTTCCAGTCTCTTTCCTTTCACCTCACTGATAAGATTGGGATTTTACTTGGTCATGCAATGAAAGATTATCTGTTCTGTGTCAAGAATGAGGACTAAGTGGCAAGTAATAGGTAAAGTCTCTTGGCTAAATCTGTTTTGCTCAGGTTTTGCATAAAGGCTTTAAGTGTATTGAAGCCCCTAGACTTAGCCACGGCTGCATCCTCTTTAATTCCCTCTCCAGAGGACAAGGTGTAAGGTGCATGGGTATCTGGTGCCCTGTGGCTGTGATATAACAGGAACGAGTAGCTTTCCCAGGCCATGGCAGAGAGTACCAGCCCCAGGCAGCTCTGCTGCATCAGTTCCCACCATTTCTAGCCCAGGGGCAGCTTAGAGGCAGGCCTTCAGCTTTAGCTCTAGCCAGGCAAACAGGGCGGCTCTCCAGTGCTTTTGTCATCCGTGCTTCATCAGGGCTTTGGTTTCAGCTGGATCTGAACCCAGGATGGTCTCGGGTGCAGTGCTGGAGCTGCTGTTTGAAGAGCCACCCTTGCCGTCCACAGGGTTAAAGCTGCTGTTCAGAGGGAACAGGGCACTCTTGGGTTATTTAAGCTGACTGTTCTCTCCTAACTTTTGTCCTGTATGGTCCTGTATGTCAGCAACACCTGAGTGAAGTATTATTTTTGTGTGCATCTTAGGGTAATCCTTGGGACTGGCAATCATAGGTAAAGGTGCACTGTGCTGTGCTTTGAAATGTAAGTATGATGCTGCAAGATCTTTGGCACGAAGAGCTGATTTTCACTCTGTGAATCTCAGGCTGGTATCCTGGTCCTTGCCTGGGGCTCCTAGGTGGCATGACACTAAGGCAAGGAACAGCTATAAAAAACAATGACAGGGAATGCAAGCCTCTAAAGAAACGATGATTAGTCTGATACGTAGGTTTTGTAGCACAGCAGCTTGCCATTGTGGAGTGTTTGTATCAAAGCAGAAGATTTAAGGAGAGGTTTGAATAGGGGTGTGAGGTTAGCTTTGTGGATATTTACTGGTAACAATTCTCCTACCTAGCAACGCAGGGTAGGAAAAAAAAAAAATTTGCAGAGTTTTAACGCTGCTCGATATGTGTCATCTGCTCCCTCCTCTTTCTTGTGACATGATAATGCCCTTGTGCTGGGACACACCAACACTGGACCGCAGCCTGCCCTGCTGAATAAAGGGGCACTTGTGTAAGTGAGCATCAGATTTCAAGGGTGTTTTATCCTGGCACACGGTAGGGTAGCCAATGTACAAGTGAAGGTCTAGGCTTTGCTCTAGAATCTAAGCATTAAAATTATTTCTTCATCTAAGAAGGCAAAAAAAAAAAATAAGCCATGCCTACTCATTGCATCAGCTTTTCTAATATGTGTTTATCTGGCTTTTCCACAGAAAATCTATCATATCTCAGGCTCAGAGGCCTTTGATTTCTTACCGAGCACAACTTGAAAAATAAACAAGTCAATCCTGACGTGTAACTGAGCTGATTGCTACATTTTCTAGTCACGCCTCTCTGTCGAAAACTTCCCCCACCCTCTTCTAGGTGTTGCCGTGGCATGTGGTTTGCTTTATGCATAGACAAAGCACTGAAATAATCTGCCTCTCACCAGGTAGAGTTATTTTGGAGAGCTAGTGCAATACAATAGGAGGCAGCACTGTAAATCCTGTAAGAAAGCCTAACTGGCAGAAGCTTTTAAATAGCTAAATATTAATGGCTGTTTAGAGGGTTTTTCTGTACTGGAGAGACAGTTTCATCAGCTGCGGTGGTGTTTTGCTGTGAGAATAAATTATGGATGCTGCAAAAAAGAGTATGCTTGTGTGGAGACGCAGAAGATGCTAATAAAAGGTTTGTAACTGTAGTCTGAAGGTAGTGAAATGTTCGATCACTTTTGGTTCAAAGGTGTTTGGTGTTCCTGAATTCATCCATATTCTTTTCTAATATGTAAGTGTGATTCACACTGGAAAAGAAATGCTGTTTAGTTGTGTTTTCGGCATATTTGAGTTATGCGGCTTTTGCTTAGCTGGCTTCTTATGTAGTACTGATAAGAATAGTATAGAAGAAAACGGACTATACTGACATTAGACAACTTGGAGATGGCCTGGGGAAGACAGGTGCCTCAGTGAAAAAACTGATTCACAGCAGATTTTAATTCATGGATTTGTATTATTGTTACCAGCAGTGATAGTAGTAAGCAGAGCCATCTTTTAATCTTACATTTGGTTGTCTTAAAAAGATACATATGCATATAAGTGAAAAAGTATAAAATAGAGCTTCTTATTTTCCGTACTGAGTTGTATGTTTCTGATGGCAAATATTTCTGAACTTGGGCAGTAGTTTAATTTTGTTTGTGTTTATAAATAATAATGTTTATAAGTGTGTGTGTATGTGTGTGCAAAATAATGTAAACATTGCTCAATATCCTTTACGAAAAAAGAAACTGAATTACTTTTTCCTAAAATTAAGCAATATTTCTCTGGAAGCAAGCAAAACTTTTATTTTGAAATGCTGAAAAACTTAAAAGAGTTCAGAAAAAATAATAAGGCAGTTTGAGAAGTAGAGGGGTTGGTATAGGGAAAAAATTAAAATAACTTGTCTGTATAAGTTGTCAGGGAGAAAAATAAAGCAAGATGCAATGCCCAGTTATTTCTGGAAGAACAGTGACAACAAAGACATGGAGAAATTTAGGATAGTGCCAGAGGTGCAAATGAAAACTTAATTTTTTCCTAGACTATCAGAAGACATTTCTAACATGTCTGCTTCGTGTAGCTTCATTGCAAGGAGCAAACCAAGCACAGCACCAAGAGGGGACAATAGTAGAGCAGCTTTGCACAGTAAAGCTGAAGCAGGGAGCTAACAAAGCTTTTACATTTTTGTTATGCAGATAATAAAAATTAAGGTAACTCGCTAAGCCACAGGATTTCGTTGAACTTGGTTTGCAGGAAATCATTGTAAAAACTCTGAAACATTTTTCATTCTTAATTTGTTGTAGAAGCATTAAAACGTATTCAACTTTATTTTAGTTTAAAGGAAGAGCTACATACATCTCACCGTCCTGGTTCTGTAAACTTCATTCACAGGGAGCAATAACCCACTGAATTAATGGCTCTTCACATTCAGTGCTACAAGAAAAATTTAGGGATTTTGGATTCAGATTGTCTGGCTGGATCCTAAGCCCACTGAGGTCAATGGGCTTGTTTCCTTTGGTTTCAGTTGGACCCCATGTCAGAGAGGAATCCTGGTTTTACAGTTCACAATTACAGAAGCAAAAACAAATTGCACCTTTCAACTGTTCTTCCCTGCCTGCAAGCACATTGCAAACAAATGACAAAGCACTTCAGGAGGAAAGGCTGGGCCACAAAGAACCTGCCAACGAGCCGGTTTATACTTGCTGTTGAAGCACAATAAAGTAGTCTGCCAGAGCACAAGAAGGTTTTAAGAGCCTAAGAACAAGGTCATTCAAAAAGACTTTGAGACAAACAGGACTGAGCAGAACCATCTTTCCCCACTTCACTTTCTCTCAAGAATTAACTTCCTGGGAAAAAACAGTTTCTGAGACCAGGAAGAACAGGCAGTAAGCACAAGCTGAGAAACATTTCCTTCAGGGCTTTTGAGGGGACTGGGTTTGCTTAGTTGTAAAATAACGATCTGCAGACTCAAATAGACTCGGTGAATTCAAGTCCTGTTCTTGTTTATTTAGTTTATTTTGTATTTGTATGTCTGTAAGTCACTCCACAGAACAGATTACCTTTTATGTTCAGGGCTTCTCGGCTTGTTCTAACCACTGCATTACTCACAGATGCTCTAGCCAGTTTTCTGCCAAGCCCTTGCAGTGCTCTATAACTTAGGAAAGCAGACGAGCCTTCTAGCATGTGTTAAAAATTGGTAAATAAAGTCTGTTTTGGGTGAGTAGCAGCAAGTTCCAAAGTTCACACCAAAAACCATCTGCTGTCTGTCTCTCCTCCTTTGCAGGGGCAGAGCACAGCCCTGCACTTGAGCAGAGTGAAATGGAAGAGAAAAACAATAGAATTGCAGAAAGCAAACCACTTACAGATTTACAAGTATTTAACTTCGGCTCTTCACAGTAACTACTAAATTACTGTTGTCTGGAAAAGGAAGTAATACCATCTTATCATAGTGCTGGATTGAAACAATTATTTTATGGCTGTTGCAGACATTGAGGTATCAGTAGGTTGAGCTCATTCTTGGCTGTGCAGCCACGGCATTTGCAAGCTGACAAGGCCAGACTGAATGGTACATTTCCCCAGCACTTTTTTTTTTAGCAGGAGTTTTTTTGGGGGGGGGAGGATGGATTCTTCACAGAGCAGTCTTTTTCCAGATGCTTTTCAATACTTGTTATAGAGAAACTGCTGGATGTTTACTATCTGGTAAAATGACATCACATTCCTTTTCAAAGCCAACATTTAAATCCTTCTGCCTACAGATATGACAGTTCTGCTAGCCCATCTTCGAAAGTGGAAGAAATGGCAACGGTAAGTAGCTTATTAACTGTATTGTCAGCGATGTTTAAACCACAGATTTCTCAGAAACTAGTCCCCTTTGTTTAGGCTGTTGAGATGACACCTGTTTAAGTAGTATTCTTGCAGCTCTTGTTTTAAACCTGAGTAAAATGTCTGTGTTGTGAACGTGTTGAATGCACCTGTGGAATGAGCTTGCCCTGTTAACTATACAAGTCCAAAGCTTTCCTAGGTAAGCCCTAAGTTTAGCTCTGATCAGGTTTCAGTTCTCTCTTAATGACGGAATAATTGCGTGGATAATTTCCTAGGCCAAAACCCTCACCTATTTTGGCAACTGTAACCAACCTGCAAATAGGTCAAAACTCACACTGAGTAAATAATCTAGTGTATTTACTTTCTTTCATTTGCATGAGGGTGAAAAAGGGTAGCTCACTTGGGCAGGCAGTAAGCTAGAGCCTCTCCTGCAACATTTCTGTTCACAGAATTACCATGTAAATGTAAATGGAAATTATTTTTTGGCTGAATGTTCAATTTTACAAGCACATCTCAATTTAAGAATGAAACAATAGCTTTATTTCTGATGTAATTTAAGTGCACGCTGTTAAAATAAACAGATTTCCTCCAAGGACGGTATTTGCTATTTTAATTACTTTATTGCCCTGTGTTACTAACATGTCTTTCCTCCTCTTCAATTGTGTGGTATAACCACAGAGGGGACTATGAAGGTATACAGTATATAATCAAAGGTACAGAGGAGGTAATTTGGCCTCCTCCCTTCTCTCGTATTTCAAAAACAAAGGGATAATCTATATTAATATATGACTGAACAAAGATCTTATCAGAGAATACTGCCTATTATATAAATAGACTATTATAGCTAGACAAGTAGAATATTATGAATATTGAGAACTAAAAAGTAGCAAGGATTTTTATTTTAAAAAAAGGAGG